TGCAACAGAAAAACCTCGGTGCAAGAGAGTTCCCGCCATTTGAATGCAAATTTGTGTTCCGCTATTGGCCAGTTCTAAATTATTCCTACGTGGCGGCTAGTAATTGGCTTGCTAGCCGTTTAAAATTTTGTGCGACTTCCGCCCAAGTCGGAGAACTTTGAGCACGCTGCAGAGTGCCTCTAAAGAGATCTGACTTGCGGCTGAGCTGATCGATAGACTGATCACCTATCGATTCTTCTCCCCGTTGCCGAGCGCAATCCTTGACGTACCCTTTCCCTGCTGGCTTAATTTGTGGACGGATTAGCTGGCCTGAGCCTTGCCAGCTGGAGCAACTCACATAGTTGTTCAAGCGACCGGACCACCTGTGTCGCGACTACAAGCGGCGTAAGTAAAGTTTTTGCAACCAATAAGCTGTGTCTGCCTTTCCATTCACCAGCCTGCCCAAACAAACGAGTGATATTTGAATCATCTTGAGTCGGCTCCGGCCGTCCGAGACAAAAAGGTGGCTTAAAGAGGGAGATCCTAGTGTAATTAGCATGGCAACATTTTAATTTATATACTATAGGTGGCTGTTATTTTTTTAAGTTAATTCTTTGGGCACCTCTCTAGAACTTGTATTAATACTGCTTTACTTTGTGTAAAGGACAGAGAAGAACTCTTTAAGGTGAATTAATGTCAGATGCTTTTTTTTTTTTTTTTTTCCTGCTCATACAGATTGCCACACTGAAGGTCAGAACATCCTTTTCACAGATGGGGAGTATATTAATCAGATAGCAGCTTCTAGAGATGTAAGTATTCCTTGCAAGATGTAGACGCTTTTTCTCAACCAATTAAAATACAATCACTGAACCTGCTGGTTGTCTTCTAGATAAAATTATAGACTCTTTTTACCAAATGCAAATAAAAAAAGAAATGCATGACTAGAGAAAATGAAAAACTGTCAGGTAGCTGAACACTTCTTGGTTTTTTGTATTATTCCATCTGGAGTTGTGCCGCAGTGTCCTTTTCAGCCATTTATTTTAAGATTGCTTTGGAAGCTCTGCTTTTGGAAAAGAGAACTTGTGAGCTGAGTGGCACATTTTAAATGTAGCAGGCTTAACATGCTTTAGGTCATGCTACCTATGGGAAAAAATTTTGAGGTAATGAGTTGAGGCTTTCTAGTCAAACATGCTTTATTTTAAAAGAACATTAAAGCTGGTACAGTAGATCTAAAAATGGAACCTATATTTATAATGGTGCCTATCAGAACATCTTCATTTTGTGTTCCTTTGCATGTATGTCATTTATGGTTTGTCTGAGTTTCAGATACGGTAGTAAAAAGATGTTTACTTTGGACACCAGCATGATAGTCTCATTTCCTGTCATTGAAGGAATGCTAGGTAATGGTCACCTATGTTGGATTGTTGGATTGCCTTTGATTTGTATTGTTAGAGAGGGTAAACCAAAAAATCATGACTGCTTTCTCACCTTGTAGTAAAACATTTCCTATCTGTAAAATGCTGCTTTTCTTTGAAAAAAGGTTGAGGCTTAAATAATCAGTGCATAAAATGCTGGAAAACTTTTTAGCTAGCAAATACTACGTATGCAGTAGTAATTTTAGGACTACCAATCTTGATTATGCCCCTTTTTAATAATATTTTATCTACCCACTGGATTTTCTATCCGGTTTGTTCATTAAGAGGGTCTTCTTGCACTTTTATATTACCTATGTTTATGTACTATTTCCTCCACAGTCTTGGCATTCTGTATTTTAGTTTGCGTATTAGATGGATTTAATTATAATGGAAATTGAATTTAATTTCAATATAAATATATTTTAATTTAATCTAACTTTAATTTTTGATGTTTTTCAATATAGGAACAGAGTACTATATTCAGTTGCATATCATATACCTTTCCCCCAAAAGTTAGCTGTCCCAAATTGGGTGCGTGTTAAGAAAGCTGATTTCTATGCTGGAATAGAGGCATAGGGATGTTGGAATGGCTGCAGGGCTGTGCTCTCTTTCTAGAGTGCATGCAGGAAGGGCAGAATGTAGTTCTCAGCATCATTCACCCTCTCCTTGCAGTTGTAAAGCTCAAAAGTTTGACCCTGTCACAGTTGCTGCTGAACTGGCAGCTCTATTCCTCCTGCATGTGCCTGAAAGCATTCGGCCATCATGATGAGCCCATGCTGTGGCTGGGAAGACTCTGGAAACATTTTTCTTATTCTGCCTTCCCAAAACTAAATGTACATCTTATTTTGGGGGGCAGGGTAAGGGGTGGTAGGCAAGAAAATATGTAACGGGGGAAAATTTGCAGAGTTTTTTTGTGGGGGGGCAGGGGTTCTGTTTCAAATCTGTTTTGCACCTTTATATGATGTCTCATTGATTTGCTTGGGCTTTTAGCTGCAGAAATATTTTGTTAGTAGCACTTTGGTAAACAGTTCGTGTCATATTTAAACTTTTTCCCCAAAAGGCCATAGAGCATATTCTTAACAATAAAACTCATTCACTGTTTCACTTGATCAGTATTTTGAAACAGTTTGATTATCATGTTTTTCTAAAACATTGTTGGCTTCTTAAAACAGAAACAAACAAAACCCTAGCTTTCTATTTCTAGTAGCAGCAACAGTAATGGTTTGAAATTTACAATGTGCAAATTGACTCTCTTTAAGTGCCATTATTATTTTTTTTTTACTGGATACTGGAGCAAGACAGCTGGTTGAACATTTACACACTTTAATACCATATTTTTTTAATATGTGATATTACTTAGTCACTCTTCTCTTTGAAGGGTCATTGCTTATTCTTTATATAAACTTTTTCTTTAAAGAAATGTGTGGTAGTAGTAGAATAGTTATAGATGTGTCATACATTTAGATCAGGGGTGGGCAATTATTTGGGCTGGAGGGTCACCTAGGGAGTCCTGGTGAGGTGGTGTGGGCTGGGTCAGCATGCTCCTTCTCTGCCCACAGCAGCTCACCAGAAGTTGCTAAGTGGCTCTGCCCCAAGGCCCAGACCTGCGTTGTCATTGCCTGGCAATCCTGGGGGCTCCATGGAGACCAGCCCAGGACCTGCACAGGCAGAGCGTGCTTGGCCAGATGGGTGGGATGGGATTGCAGATGTGTAGGCAATGGTGTTCAAGAGTGTGGGAGCAGGCTGGGGCTGGTGCTGGGATTGGGATTGCGGGGCAGTGACAGTGCGGGACCAGGGGCAGAGCCACAATCCATTCTCTGCACACCCCTGTCCATGGAACTGGTGCTCATCACAGGGATGTGCAGACAGTGAGTTGCCGTTTTTGCCCTGGGTCCCAGCCTGTGCTGTCACCGCCACACAATCCCGATGTCGGCCCCAGCCCTGACTTCTTGTCCCACTCCTAAATACTGCTCTTTGCCCACCCGCAGCCCCATCCCATCTGCCTGGCTGCATGCCCTGCCCACGTGGGTCCCAGGCTGGTCTCCAGGAAGATCCTGCCCTCCTGCTCTGTCTGGCACCCTAGCAGTGGGGCAGGGTGGATGGGTCAAGGTGCATGGGCAGTGGGGCAGCAGGGTCCAGTAGCAATGGAGACTGGTAGTGGTAGCTGGAAGGAGCCACCACTCCAGGGTCTGCTGGGAAGTGAGTCTGACCGCTGCGCTGCTCCAGCCCCACTGGTGCCCAGGGGCAGTGAAACTGGCCACATGCGCCACAGCCTGGGCTGGGTGGGGTCTAGAGACCCAGCGCATGCTGGACAAAATCCCTTAATGGATCAGATCTGGCCTGCGGGGGACACATTTTGCCCACCCCTGATCTAGATACATGAGCTTGAAACTTAAGGCTTGTGCTGATTCCTGCCACTAGTTGACCAATATATAAATACCTCGTCCTTTCAGCTAGGAAGCTCTAATGCTTTCAGATGCAGTGCTAGCCATATTACTCTGTTGGGTGCTCTTGGCTGTCAGAACTGGTAAGGATGGATCTTACCCATTTGGTGAATTATGCCCTTAAGAAGATGCTGTTCATTTTTAGAAGACCCTAATTCTTAAGATTATAACATTAACAAAATGCACTATTTAGGTTGGTATACTAGGCTTGATTTATTTGCATGTGTGGGGAGAGACTGGAGCCCGGTTAAGGTAATATATGTACTAAAAGAATACATGTGCACAAAAGGTACTTTTTTGTAATTTTGTCATAAGTAAAACAGTCTCTGTTTTACACAGAAGTGTTTTGCATGTTACCTGATCTTGTTAAATTATTTTTAGAGCTAGCAAGAAAAGTACTCGACTGTTCATTCTTAATTATCTAAAACACTTAAATAGATTTATAGTTTTACTTATGAATAGAACAAGAAAATATTCCTTTAGAACCTTGAACCGTGTATTAAAATGTTCTGGTGAACTTGCTGAGACTAAAAATTGGTTAGTGTCATTCCTGACTAATCAAATTGCATGTGAAATATTTATTCTTTTTAAAGATTACAAGTAAACATAAAACTAAAATAATTAATTACTAAAAGAAAACATACAGGTTTTATGAGCTTCAGTAATTTGCATGTTTGGGTTTGTTTTTTAAATATCATGGAATTGGAAGAAGGTAAGTATTTAAAATAGTTGAAAAAGATCAGGAAGGCCAGACCTTACAGACTTCAAAATATTTCAGTGTTTAGACCTTTTCATTTGAAAAATCTCTGTGTTGAATCTTTCTTGTTTTATTCTTTGTTTTTTCCACAAAACTGTTAGTTCTCCATTAGTTCATTGTTCTCCATTTACTGTGTCTTGTTAATATATTATCTAGTAATGTGAAGGATGAAATTAAACCAGATGCTTGTAAACCATGAAAAAAAATTACAATATGTTCAGTGGTATAAGTGAATATGTTATTTCTTACAGGATGGCTTTGTAGTTAGAATATTTGCAACAAGTACTGAGCCAGTACTGCAACAAGAACTGCAGCTCAAACTTGCCAGAAAGTGCTTACATGCCTGTGGTATCTCTTTATTTGATCTCGAGAAAGATTTGCACATTATCAGTAAGGATTCATTTTTGTCTTCTATTTTTGAATTATTGCATGTATACTGATATGATGACAGATATGGGCTTCCAAAGTTGTTAAACCATACCATATTGCCTTGGAAAAATCAGTTTACCTTTTTCTTAAAGAAAAAATGAAAATAACTGTTCATGCCTAAATTTGAATTTCCATTCAAGCAAAACTGTCTTTCTAGTATACAGAGACTTTTCTCTTGTGTAGAGTATTTCAGCATAATTAAAATACATGTGTACATTTTTGATGGTTCCCACATAATATATGTTTTGTTTCATTAGATTGTTTCCTGTACAATTTGAGACTTAATGTTAATTAATGTTAATCTGAACTTTATATTATTTGGATTACTTCATTTGGAAGTTTTTTTCATGGTGCTGTAATACTTTTGTCACTGAAATCGGTGGCAAAATCTGCTTTAACTTAAGCAATGTCGAATCATGTCTAAAGTTACCTTTGAAGCCATCTGTAATAGAAATTGCTGAGCTAATTGGACTCTTTGTACTCTTAGGTACAGGGTTTGATGAGGAGTCAGCTGTTCTGGGTGCAGGAAGAGAATTTGCACTAATGAAAACTGCTAGTGGAAAGGTATTGAAAGTGTTTCATCATAGGCGTTCATTGTACAAATGTACTACATAATCTTTCGGAAGTCTGCTTTGATGAATCTTTGAAGAAAAAAAGTGCTATTGCATGCCTTGTTCATAGGTGCTACATAGCACTGCCATTTTGTAGCCTGGTGTTCATGGCAGAAATATCCTCTTTCACCTTTTTGTTTTACTCTTTATCTTCAAGTCCCTTATTTTCCACAACCTGGTAGAAGGCTGCTTGTTTCCTACTAGTCTTTGCAGTGCCTTTTTCCAAATTACCAGGCTTTTGCAGCTGCCCCTGTTGCCAGATACTGACCTTCGACTCCTTGAAGTGTTTATATACTGCCTTGGAGATTGGATGTGCCAAACAAGTGCAACATTTGTCAGTCATTCAAGTTCAGAATTCAGGGAAGAGCCTGAGTTATAGCTAGCTACATATGGCTTGTTTATTGGATAGGTCCCTTGGTTCATCCTCAGACCCTGATACCAACTCACCGGGCCAATACTGCTTCTTTCCAGTAACCATCATAATTGCCAGTGACACAGTACTTAGCATTTACTGTATTTTCTTGCATATACCATGCCCTAGAATATAATACACCCCCTGTTTTTGAAAGGCAGTATGAAGAAAACATTCTTACCTTTTAGTATGGTTAACTGAGTATCAGCAGCTAGGGAGCTGAGCTTGTTGCCAGTCCCACTGGCTGAATGGGGTCTGTGGACTGACCTTGCATGCTGCGATGACATGCCCCTGACACATGGCATCTATCTGGCTGAGGTCCAGAAATTTAGTGGTGAGGGAGTAGGGGCAGTGCTAGTTGCATGGATCTGTATATTGAGACACATGGGGATCAGTATTTCTCATCATATCCATATGATGCACAGTTCAATTTCCCCTTAGCTTGTTTTGGGAGAAAAGTTGCATGCTTAACATGAGAAGATACAGTATTCACCCTTCCAGATTGTCATCAAGGACATGGTACAGATCTAATCATAAATTCAGTTCTTGCCTGATGTCCTTACACAGAGTGCTTCCCCATCTGTTGGGGCCACTTCTGTGGAGCCATGTTCATACCCTCCAAAAGAGCAGGAATATTGAATGGACAAGCTCCTAGACCTCCTGATTTGCATAAGGATCTCCAGGAGGCTGATGGAACACAGGAGCTAGACTTTGCTCTGTCATATCCCAACTTTTAAATGTCTATACCAATAGGTTATACACGGACTCCTGTAAAGTGGAGCCAATCAGTCTAATCAGTCGTTGGATACTTAGTTCTGGCATGAGAAATCAAGGTCTTATCTGGCATTACATTTATCCTAAAGAAGTCTTGTAAATAAAGAAGGTAACTACAGTGTAATGAAAAGGAAAGATATAAAATGCATTTTTCATATTGGATAACACGTAGAGAGATTTCTTTAAAATATCAAGTTTGTACTAACACACGTCTGTTAAATTTAACATGTATATTGTATCAGATCATGCCACTAAATACTTTAAATACAGTTTAACTTTTCTGACCTGTTGATTAACTGGATCAATTAAAGAATGTGCTATGTTTTATTTTTTATTTCCTTAGACTTTTTTTGCTTTGGGTTAGCGAGTAGCTTGTTCTTTACATGAATTTTGCTGCGTTAACTGTTACATTTTTGAGCAAAAACCAAAGAAGCTATGACACAGTATCTTTGAATAAATGCATGTCTATGTTGTTATCAGTTTAGCTTGCAACATCTGTAATTGAAAACAAAAGTGAATTTTGTTATTTACAGTTGCTTTTAACTACCCCAATGGGTTAAATGGGGGGAAGGGGAGTGAATCATTTTTTGTCTTGTATCTATAATAATAATAAAGCAAGATTCAATTTCTGCTTTATTTTAAGTATTCTGGCATGATTGAAGAACAGTACAACTTTTTCCCCCCTTTCTTTCAGATTTATTATACTGGCAAATATCAGAGCCTTGGAATCAAGCAAGGTGGTCCTTCAGCTGGAAAATGGGTTGAACTGCCAATCACAAAATCTCCAAAGATTGTTCAGTTCTCAGTTGGACATGATGGTTCACATGCCTTACTTGTTGCAGAAGATGGAAGCATATTCTTTACGGGTTCTGCTAGTAAAGGAGAGGATGGTGAATCAAGTAGGTTTTATTATGCTGTGATCAATTGGTTAGTGTATGAACAGAAAAAAATATTCTGAAAGTCTCTATGGTATATCTTTACAATGCTTGAGCATGTTAGTTGCATGCTTTCTGCACATTGTCAGGGAGTAAACAAGTTTGTGTGTGAAAATAGCCACAAATCTTATCTCTGAGCAAAAATGATAATGTTACAAGAAAGCTCTCCCAGTATTAAAAGACAAGAAAACAGAATGAACCCAAAATATTTTTCCTTTTTATAAAGGAAATCAGAAAGGAGCCCCAAAATCTACTGTTTTCTGTAACCTCTTTGTAACTGTCAGCTTGTAGTAGGAAATTTTAGAGAAACCTGTGAATAAGCCACAATTGCAGCTTTTATGAACCATGTTCTTTAAAAAAAAAAGAGAGAGAGAGAGAAAAAATAAAACAACAAAAAACCCCCTTCAACGCTTTCATAGCACAAATTTCTTTTTTTTCCCCTTCACACACGCATCATTTTATGAGGTTCACTTTTGGTAAGAGACAAGGATTTAAATTTTCATTTTCATTTTCATTTCACTTTTTTTAAAGACAAGCTAAAAGGTGAAAGATGCATAACTGATATAATGGTGGGGATTTATTAGGAAAAGAGGTGGATGTAAGGCACTCTTTATGGAGGTGACAAAATTATCCAAAAACTATGAGATGGTACTATGAGATGGTGCCAGTGCTCCTGCTATGACTTAAACCTGGACGTTTGTGGCTAGAGGGTCTTGCCTCTGTTCGTCAGGAAAAAATTCTTACCCCTTGATGAGATTTGTATTGACTGTGGGAGTTTTTGCTTCCTCTCTAGTAGTGAGTATGGTTCTGTTCCTGGGATCTCTTGAACAACCTCTACAGCAGCAGGACATGGATTGCTGTCTTCCCCCTGATTTAGTTGTCAGGTTAGGGTCTTGTGCTGTGTTAGAAAACTATACAATCAACCCTAAGAGGTTAGACAATGGATTTTATATAAGATGGTTTGGATAGGAATGATCCTGCCTTAGGCAGGCAGTTGGATTAAATGACCTCTGGAGAGACTTTCCAGCCCTACTTGTCTATGATTCTCTGAAAATTAGACAATTTAAATAACATTTTAGTTGTAACTTTTATCTCCTTAAATGCTAATGTGCTGAGAGGAAGCTTTTAAAATGGGTAGATGCATGTTTATGATGATAAAGCACTGGAACAGGTTACCGAGGGAGGTGGTGGAAGCTCCATCCTTAGAGGTTTTTAAAACCTGGCTAGACAAAGCTTTGGCTGGGATGATCTAGTTGTGGATGGCCCTGCTCTGAGCAGGGTCTTGGACTAAATGACCTCCTGAGGTCCCTTCCAGCCCTAACTTTCAGTGATTCAGAATTGAATGGTAACTTCTAGAACTTTTTGAAGTAAGACAAAAATGCATGCCACTGGGCACATCTACACGTGCATATTAATGCAGAGCAATAAACTCCAGTGCATATTGTGCTGGAGTTTATTGCCCCTGGGTGTCATGTTTATACATGCACCCCAGGACTGCTGACCAATTTGAGCTGGGTCAGAGCAGCCTTGGCTGGCAGGGGTACTGTTCCAGTCTGTCTCAACGTACTGAGGAGGGGCTGGCTAGGTCGCGAGGGTGCTCCAGTGCAAGACTAGATGCCAGGTAGCCCTTGCCTTCTTCCTCAACCAGCCCAGATGAAAAAACTTCACAGAAGGATATTACTTGTATTTATAAGTACTAACCTGCTGTGGAATATATTAGTTTTCTGTGGACTAATAGGGCTGCACGTGTGCACATGCAGACATTTACTGCAGAGCTAATTAGGCAACTTGCAGTAAATGTTTCATTAGACAATTTAAATAACATTTTAGTTGTAACTTTTATCTCCTTAAATGCTAACGTGCTGAGAGGAAGCTTTTAAAATGAGTAGATGCACGTTTATGATTATAAAGACCTGGAACAGGTTACCGAGAGAGGTAATGTTAAGCCACTTGGTTTTCATTTTCTGTTTAAAAAAAAAAAAAAAATGTTAATATTCTATCAGATGCATGGATAAATCATTACCAGCTACAGGGGATACTAGTTTGTCACTGCAACAATGTTATTGGTATATAAATAGGAACATTCTCAGGCCTTTAATCTGTTGGATCATGCAAAAATTTAGCAATTCCTTATAAATCTGAAATCTTAACGTACAGCAAACATCCTGTCTCTATAAACGTAATGTGTTTTTGCTTATTAGACTTCACTTTCAGTCAAAAAAATTACTTAAGTGTTGCTTTGTAAGGTGTATTAATCAAATTAATTGAGTATAAAAGATGCATCTAAACAAGTCTTGTAGAATTATGAAAGAATAGTTTATCCACAAATGATGATGGAAGAGTTTTAATAGTATTTTACAAAACAAAGAATATAAATTTAACTGCAGTAAGGGAATAATCAGGTAACTTTTTCACAGGGTAATGTAATAACATTTTGAAGTTATCGTTGACAAAGATCTTATTCTTCTGCTCATGCCTTTTCTTTTCTTTTTTTGATGTAGCATGTTTTTAAAAAAATCCTTTGATTTTTATTTTTATAAAGCGAAAAGCAGACGGCAATCAAAACCCTATAAGCCTAAAAAAATTATTAAAATGGAAGGGAAGATTGTGGTATCTACAGCGTGCAATAATGGAAGTAGTTCTGTCATTTCAAAAGATGGAGAACTCTACATGTTTGGAAAAGATGCCATTTACTCTGATAGCACAAGTAAGTTGATATTTGAGAAATTACTTCAAGGCAAATAGTGCTTGACAATTGTAGATCCCAGCTGGGTGACCACACTGGGGCCAGTTCAAGATGCTGGTGCAATTCTGTGGCAGGGGCAATCAACTGATTATTGGTTCCAGGCCCAGGACTACATGGGGGCTGGTTCAAGACTGGTACAGTCCCAGCTCCGAGGACTGTGTTGGAGCCAGTTTTGAGACTCCTTTGTGGCCCCAGGGACTGCACTGAAGCTGCTTCTAGTGTCCAATGTGACTCCAAGGCTGGAACCACAATCAGCTGACTGTTGGTCCCAGCCCTCAGAATGCACCAAAGTGGGGTTGGTTCAGGGCTGTTTGTCAGTCCCAGCCCCAGGGCCACACCGGAGTCTTGAGCCAGGTTTGGTGACCTGCTACACATTCATAGTTTCATACTTTTATTCAGTTTAAGGTACAATGGAAACCAGCCACAAAAACATTAGAGTTCTTTTGTGGAATATTTTTGTGGCTGGCTTCACGTTTTGCCACACCATAATGCCTCAAATGTGGGCCAGTTTACTGTTTATGGTGTGGTTAACAAGTTAATTGTCTTATTGCTAATGTCTTCCAGTACTGTAGAGGACATACAGTGACATTATTAAGTAAAACAAAAGGAAACCTTTTTACACTGCATGTATTTAACATGTGGAACTCAATATATCGTTGTAGTATCTACCTTAAGATATTATGGACGGTGAGTTCAAAACAAGATTGGACAAATAAATGTGGAATGGCTCCATCTATCATGATTATAATGTTAAACATGATAATTAAGGTTGCAGCCTACAAATTAGGACTTCTTAGGCCTCTGAATGCTGGAAACTATAACATGCACACACTTTGCCTTAGTATCCACTTTGTGTCACTGTAAGATACAGGATACTGGGCTTGATTGATCTTTCATATAACCCAGTCTGGCATTTGTTGTATTCAAGAACTAAAACTCCCACTGAAATTAACAGCAGACAGATATTAAACAAACAAGGCAAAGTACCTTTTTTTTTTATACATTGTGTAATTAACTCGATATCATTGCCACTGGAGGTTTAAAGGAAAATACTAGAACCATGTTCAGAAAAGGAATTGAACAAATTGATAGAGGACAAGTCTACACTATTAAATGAACATTAGGGGATATATCCCCTGACATCCCTAAATCCATGGTGGTTGATGCCATGGAGGGTCTGATGGGATGGATTACACTAGACATACTCTGTACACATATTTAAGTATTTATTACTACCCCATTGGAGACCGGATACTGGGTTAGATGGATTATAAGTCCAGTCAAGCATAGCACTTCCTAAGTTTTTTATATAGAGAGATATTTGTTCAGTATCCAAAACAATTTAAATAAATTATTAAATAAATTTTTGCTCCAAATGGATAATGATTCTGGTAGAAATCCCTTTATAAAAATTATAGAGTTTTTGTTCATTTGTTTGTTTGTTTTTTGGGCAGGTAAGTTGTATTATTCAAATGCCAATCTTTCTATCATTCTCTTCTTGCATTTAAAAATTAAATATTTCTGATACTCATAAGCATCTTGTTTGGAGGAAGAAATGCAGTTCATCATCCAGGTGTTGTTTTGTATCTCATAGGTTTAGTAACAGATTTGAAAGGCCATTTAGTGACTCAGGTAGCCATGGGCAAAGCTCATACATGTGTGTTAATGAAGAATGGAGAGGTTTGGACGTTTGGAGTGAATAATAAAGGACAGTGTGGACGAGACACAGGCTCCATGAGCCAGGGAGGAAAAGGTGAGCTACTTTTGTCTAGAAGTACGAAGTATAAAAACAAATTTTTCATTAATGTATTATTAGCAATGCCTTTCCAGGTTCTGAATTGTTCATAAGCTTAGACAAGACTAGCACTTCAGCATTGTCTCTCCTTATATTGGAACAAAGTTGGCTAACTCTCAAATATATGTAGTACTGTATTCTTTTGTTAACCAATTCAGTAAATATTTAATTTTGCCTCCTTGGATTTGTTGAAAAGCATATGTCTATATAAAACAACTTTAGTGCTTTTCTTTTGGTGATAGAGAGAGGTTTTTTGCTTCTTATCTTGCTTCCTTCATTTCCCAGTTACAAGGAATATATTTACATTTTACAGTATTATAGAAATACAATTTGTAGAGGTTATGTGGCACTCTAAAAAAAATATTCCTGGCATTTAAAAAAAAATAAACGTGACCTGTTCCACATTGTCTCCTTTTTGTATTTATATTTGTAGTTCTTTTCTAACTCTACATCCCTGTACTTTCTACTTCAACTATTAAGCCTAAACTTGGCCCCCATCAGGTGTTTAAGAAAAATATAAATCTTAAATCTTTCTGAATCTTTCCTTCCTTTTCAGAAAGAATGCAAACATGCAGAATTCTTGCATGTTTACATCTTATTATTGCATCTTGTATGTTCACATCTTGTTATTCTTCAAAATGCCAATCTTTCTATTGGCCTTGCTGCCTCTTGTTGCTCCTGCTGCCAACTTCCAAGCAGCCAGGAGGAAGCGGTTTTGCTGATATGTGGAAGGTTGAACAGTTAAACCACTAAGAAGAGGGTAGATTGAGATGGAGGCTTGCAGAGGAAATGGGGGCTAGAACATGAGAAGGGGAAGGAAGATGCATGAGATGAGAGGTTGGAGAGGTGAGGCTGGTCCTAGAAGATGGGTGGTTTGGAATCTGGGATTGACAAGGAACCCAGGATTGACAAGGAACCCAGAAGAGAACAGTAGGACTGACTGAGTAAAGAGAAAATGGTACAGGTCTGGAGTTAGAAGTAAGAGGTGGAAATAAACAACTACTGAACTTCTTTATGGAATGAAGCAGTTTGTTTGGAAAAAAAAATAGTAAGTGTTGATGACATTTAAACTGCTGTGTTGAAGAGTTGCAATATCTTTATAAGTAGGTTTTGGAGTTGAGAACATGGCAACAGCAATGGATGAAGATCTAGAAGAAGAACTGGATGAAAAAGATGAGAAGTCTATGATGTGTCCCCCAGGCATGCATAAATGGAAGCTGGAACAGTGCATGGTGTGCACTGTGTGTGGGGACTGCACAGGCTATGGAGCCAGCTGTGTTAGTAGTGGGCGTCCAGACAGGGTACCTGGCGGGTAAGCTAATAAGTTCATGCAGAATCTTTCACACAGTATGCTGAACAAGTAAAACATGAATTAGATGTAGTCAAAGTAGGTTGTAGGAAGTAGGGGGTGGAAGGGACTTGATCATCTATTTCGGTTCCCTGCTTAAGGGAGTATCAAATGGGCGTGTCTACACATGACACTACGTCACTATAGCGATGCGCTATGGCAGTGTAGTGTCCATGAGTGTCTACAGGTGACCAGCAGTTACTTTGCCATAGCAACTTGCTCCCCTGTTACAGTATGGGCCGTTACTGCGCTGTTCTTTAGTACTTCCAAAAGAAAGTACTGAAGCATAGCACAGTAACAAGGTCACCATAAGGCAATGGGTAGATGCGCCCAATTTGTCTAAACCAAAGATTCTTAACTAGGTGTCATAGTACCGAGAGGTGCTGAATTATTCTTTTAAGGGTGTTGCGGACTGCCATGCAGTTTTTATGCTGTAGGTACAAACATAAATCTACAAGATTAAGCCAGAGAGCTCAAATAGGTATTCCAAGTGTCAAAAACATTTTGATCTGCTGTGCCCTTTGAGTATTTTTTTCAGCAAAATGGCTGCTCTATTGTTTTTCCGTAGTCAGAAAAAAAAAAGTAAAAACTAAGAGTTGGCGTTTTTGGAGTGGTGACCCGAGTCTAACGAGGTTGAGAACCACTGCTTAAAACATCCTAGGCAAATGTTTGTCTTACCTGAACTAGAAGTTCTGGAAATTTCTCAATTTCTAAGTGATCTATTTGATGGCTTAACTGACCTCATAAATTTTTATTTTAATAATAAATAACACTATCTAAAGGACATGTTGCTCTGAAGTTTTAAAATGAACACTTGTATGTCTTTATGCTGTTTTATAAACAAATTTGTAATCTTTTATTTTTTTGTAATATGTCGACAAAAACATAAAAGAAAGTATTGTTGAATGCAATCAGAATGTAATTTGGTCTTCCTTTTGACCTCGTTATATATTGAGTGCTTCAATTTAAATTGTGGGACTCCTGTCTTTAGGACTAATTTTTCTTTCTCCTGGAAGATGGAGAATAGGTTTAGGTTAGAAATCAGAAGGCAATATTTTACGGTTAGGGTGGCCAAAATCTGGAACCAACTTCCCAGGGAAGTGGTCCTCGCCCCTACCTTGGGCAAATTCAAGAGGAGGTTGGACGATCACCTGTCTAGGGTCTTGTGAACCCAGCATTCATTCCTGCCTGTGGCAGGGGGTCAGGCTAGATGATATGTTCAGGTCCGTCCTGACCCTAGCTACTATGAAGAGAAAAAGAATGATAGTGGCTAATGCAGGGGTTGGCAACCTCTGACCTGCAGGCCAGATTTGGCCCATGAATAGACTGAACCTAGCCTGTGAGGGTCTGATCTGGCCTATATTTTAACAACAGCTGGCCAATTATCTGTTTCTACTTGCACGTTAACAGCAGCGTGCCAATCTTGGCCGCTGCTTCAGTTGTCCACACCTTTTTGTCAAGGGATGTTCTCATTCTGTCATCCTCCCCATGCCCACAGCCTCTGCTTATTGTTGCTGCTGCTCCAAGCTATTGCTTGCCATGTTTTTCCATGGTAATGATCAGCACAGGCTGCAGCTGGGAGAAAAGAGCCGTTCACAGGGAGTGGTCCTGGGGACCAGGTTACAAAGGGTGGGACTGCCCTAAGTCAAGGCAGCCAGCCTCTGAACTAATGCTTCCTTGTTACTTTGGGTTGGTCCATAGGGGAACTGAATAATAAAGTGCTACTTTTATGCATCTCCACTGTTGCCTTTTCCTCTCTTGCCAGGCTTGTGTTAAACTCCTTCCTCTGTTCCTGGTTTTACATAAAATGGAATGTTGGGAATGCCAACCTGGCTTTGTATGTCTAGTATAGTTAACATACTTATCTCTGTGGAGGTGGGATGCTAGCATATAAATCTACTTCTTCCTTTCGTGTGTCTCAGGAGAAACTACAGGGTTACAATTTATTTCTGTTAGATCTGTAGGCATTATGTGTTCCCAGTTAGTTTTATGTAATATATAGTGTGTTGCAGCAAACCATTGATAAATAACATTTCTTTATTTTCTGTAGTATCTGTGGCTGTGGCTCAGGTGAGTCTGGCTGTGCTGTATGTGGTTGTTGCAAAGCCTGTGCTAGAGAACTGGATGGTCAAGAAGCCCGACAAAGAGGGATCCTTGATGCTGTCAAAGATATGATACCTTTAGATCTCCTGCTGGGTAAGCGAACTAAACAATATAGTTTTACCATTTCAAGCTTTTAGCAAGATATTTATAATTTTAATCGCACAGTATAACTGTCTGCCCTCTAAAATTAATTTTTGAGCTTTCTTTGATTTAATATCCACGTATGGTATTATAACTTTCAGCAAATTGCAGGTTAGTCTCGAAATGGGCACAATATTATATGGCTTGATGTTTCTGTCTGCATTTTGATTTTCTGGTGGTACGTAATAGTTTTTGTATATTGGTTTAATTGAGTATCATCTTTTCATTGCAGTGACTATTTGCAGTTATGGTCTTTCCTTATTAGTTCAGTACAGTAGTTCTTAAAATATTGCTTAGCAGATTTTTTCCACAGTAATATAGTAAAATGAACGGTCAGATTGACAATGAACCTAGTATACTACATTTGTCTACTTGCATGACAGCACTGTTTTGACAAGATAACACTTCTGGTCTAAAAGCTATTCTTGTCTCCTTGTTAGCTCTGGAAGGGAGGATTACCTTAATGCTGTTGCTGAAGATTGATACATCAGATTTTTTTTTAATGTGGGATTGGTGTCCATATTGAACAATTTTTCTATAAGTATTTTTGGAAAAAATTGGAACTTCTGAAAATGTGAAAGCTGTTAACATCAGTGGAAGAAACAGACTTGCATACGACTAGATTAGTATTTTTATAGCTGTATTTATAAGATGAATTGAAAGAGCAGCAAACTATGAAATAAAACCCATATATGAAACTTGCCACTGTTACATGTTAAAATGTCTGATTCTTAAAACTGCATTATTTTATTGTACATAGTTTGGTCTGCAGAAACTATCAGCAGTTAAATCTGCTGCCACATGCAGTCCTAAAAGAGTTTATTTAAATAGATTAATGTAGTTTTAAACAGAATTAAACCAAGTGATAAGCTTTCTGGTGTTTATAATTTCTGAAATTTGGGGGTAAAAAAATCAGGCAAGATAGCTGTAGCTAATTAAAAATATTCATATACTTGATAGATGGGAGGTGCAGAAAACTAGTAAATAATTGTAAAATTGATAGGTTTATAAGATTCAGAACATTAATGCAAAATTAAGGCTGTAGTCCACTCTGAAACAATTGTAGTCTCATTTTCTTATTTCTTAAACCTCTAAGCATTTGTCGTCCATAGCTTTGATTTTCTTCTGTTTTAATAGGTTTTGTCACAATCATATTTTTTTTTAAATATAGTAATTTTAATTTTGTCTTTGAATTCATTTAGCTGTTCCTGTTCCTGGGGTTAATATTGAAGAACACCTTCAGTTACGACAAGAGGAAAAGCGGCAACGAGTAAACAGAAGGCATAGATTGGAGGAAGGTAGAGGTAAGAGTCTTCGTTGTTCATTTGAAGCTTAAACAGAGAAGCACAACTTCTTTCTTTCTTAAATATTGACTAAGAACATAGAAGAGCTTTTCCACAATAAGCCACTGTGTTCCAATTTAAAAAAAAAAAAGACCAGAACTAAACTTGAGCTATGTTAGCTTTCATGTTACATCTGTTAAATCATACAAGATACATAGGCTTGGCAGGATTCAAGATTTTTTTTTTTTAATCAACAAACATTGATTTCACCTTGCACTCACCAATGGAAAAATACTTCCATTGGTAATCAAAATTTATAGAGGAGACTGTAACAGAACCCTTACCCCTGCTACTGGACAGCGGAGGAAGAGATGGAGGGACAGAAGGTGGAGGGGTGGAGCAGTAATTAGGTGCTTGTCCACAGTTCGGGGAAGTGGACTGGAGGGCAATAATAGGCTACTTAAACATCTAACTGAAGCCCAGAGAGGGGAGTGGGAAAGGGAAGAGTGTCCAGTGGCAACAGGGTCCTGCTCAGGCTGGGCCTGGACAGCTAAGCGTGGGGGCTGGAAATGGCCACCACCCCTCCCTGTGTTCCCAAAGCTCTGGGAGTGCCGCTGCCCTCCTTTTCTGGTTCATGCCCCCTGGCCTTTTTCCTGATGAATGAACAGAATGATTTAAAGCAGGTATGATTTAATGATTTATGGGTATTTACTTTTTATATTTTGCCGTTATTTTTCTAACAGTATACTGTCATTATTAAATTGTCTGCCCCCCACACTCCTAATTTTGTTCAATCTTGAAAGTTTAAATTGATTTAAAAATCAGAAAACACCCCATTTTTGCACAATCCTGAAAATTTAAGGAATAAAAATAAAACATACGTAAAAATAAACACCCTCAAAGTTGTATTAAAAAAAAAAAAAAAAAAAAAAAATTCTGCCAAGCCTAGATATAATAGTAAAATCGGTACATTGATCAAAATCTATTTACCAGAGAAAAATCTATCATAGAAGTTAGTGTTAAATAGCCCTTTTGTATATAGCATTTTCATCTTTTTTTTTTTCCTACTTGAAGTAGCTTAATTACCATAAAGAGAACAAGAATGACAGCAAGGTTGCCAAATATTACTGTTACATATCATTGTCTTTTTGTGACTCCTGGTACTAGGTTGGTATTCTACAAAGTACTCTGTTTTCCTTTTCCCAACCAAAAAAAATGTGATGCAGATTTTTAACAAATATATATTTCAAGACAGTACCCTATATGTTACCACCATTAAAAATTGCTATAATTGTATTTGTTTTGAAGACAAAACGTATACTGTCATATATGATTTGTGCAGAAAATGAGAGATTTAGTGAAAGTATATATTGGTTTCTGTTTCATGATAAATTTAGTATGTCGACATTTTTCCAGACTTCAAGCCATTGGGTATATGAAAGCATAGTTACTGTTCATATTTTGTATGTGTTAAGAAAATACCACATGCAGGAAAGGAAGTGAGTAAGGTTAGCAGGATCTTAAAACTTCTTGTTGTCTTAGCAGTTAAGAGACCAAATGTTGTAATTTTTCCTTGAGGCTATGTTCCCTGATATGTTTAGGTGATTCACAGGTTAATCACATTTTTCAATAGTATCCCGGCCACACATTCAAGTCAGTTTAAGGCATGATAATACAGTAAATGAATTGTATTTATTTTACATACAATGTGTAATGACTTTGACTCATTTGTAGCGCACCTTAAATCAAATGTATGGTCAAAATGTCAGGATCCAGCATGGGGCAGCCCCAGGGTCCAGGACAGCTGTCCTGTACCCTGTCAGACTGGGGGAAGAACCCCTGGACCTTTAAAAACCATGTGTGCTATGCAGCTAGGCAGCACGTAGAATTTTTACTTGTCCCCACCCATGCATAGAGACCACAGCCCAATCCCAGGGGCCTTATGTCTGGGTATGAGTAAAATCCCTAGGTACTGCTCAGCTGGGCAGAAGGTGTAGTTTTACAGGTACTGGCACCAGAGACCTGGGGATCTGGTTCTAACCACGTGATCCCTGGATCCCCAGGCCCAGGGACCTGTAAAAACTGTGTGTATGCTCCCCCTGCTGCACTTTTGACAGTCAGCTGATTTTTGGCTGGGGCTGGGGACCGGGCTTGGGCTGGTTCCAGATCAGTCCCTGGCCTCAGTTCACAATCAGCTGATTGTGACATCTTGGTTTCACCCTGCTGATGCAGGGGGAGCCTGGGATCATAATCCTGAGCTCCCCTGTACTAGCAAGTAAGGTATGATTGGCATCTAATCCCTGATTTGAAAATCGCCTGATCCAGAAAATTGTGTGGTATGACAGGAGACAGGGTGGTTGGGAGCTTGAATTGGATCCTTATCACACTTTTAAAATGAGTGTCTGCCTGGGACCTGTGTGAGGCTGACTTTGAGTTGGCGGCGGTGGGGTGGGAGGGGACCTTGTTCAAATTACTTCTTTATATTCCTGTAGGGAAGACACGCTACCTAGGTGCAGATCCAGGAGTGCAACCTTATCTAGCCATACCTGGCAAAACATTTTTGTGCTGCTTGGTGCCCCTTTCTGCAGTGTTCCTGAATGTCATTGGGATGTGGCTAAAAGAAGGGAGACTTATGCTTCAAGTGCCTTAAGTCCTTCCAACTGTGTGCAAGCAGTATAGAAAGTGCTCTAGACCCTTTGTGTGGATTATTTTTTCATAAAAGTGTTCAGCCAACTTTATTAGGGATAAAGGTTGTAGCCGTGTTGGTCTAAAAAGCAAAAGGAGTCAGTGTGGTAGAGGCGATATCTTAGACCAACTCGATAGTTGCAAAAAAAGTCTTTATTTGCAAGCTTTTGGGCTCATGCGCCCTTTCTCAGACAAAGGAGAATGCAAAGATTATAAAATTTCTCCCAGGTAGAAATGAAACTTCATATTCATAAGAGAGCCAGAGGGTGGTATAAGTTCTCCTGGCTGGAAAAGTTCATTTTATGCAGATTAGGCTTGGCTAAAAGTTGGAGCAGTCTATTTACCTCAAAGGTGTCTGATGGCAAGCAGGATGTTGAGTTATGCTTCTTTTTTGTGAAGGTGTTTTATATTTCACAGGGGGACTAGTGGTGGAAAGGTTCTCCTGCTGGGCAAGGAAGTTCTGTTGTGTTGAGGCCAACTTTATTTTTTCCAGCCAACTTTATTTAATATTTAGACATTTTTGTCAGTAAGTTCGGATTAAAGTATTAAATAGTGTAAACTTTGGGCTTCAGGTCGGTTATAGAAGAAACTTCAATGGTGGAACTGAAGAGGCAGAAATCAAGTTTTAAATGCTGTACTTCCTTTCTATCTTTTATCCCAGGATTTGTATACATATTCATTTTTTCCTGCCCCAGGAAGGAACATTCCTTGTCAAGATGTTGATTTTTAATGTATTCATTCTGAAAGTTTTAAAAAAAAAATATGCGCAGTTTACTGTAGACTCTGCAACCTCAAGAAGTGCTGGTAGGCAGCTTTCTCGATCTGCTTTAAGTGATGTAGAGAATCCACCTGGATCAACTTTGCCTGTGAATACACTTAAGCAGAAAGTGTAGTCATCAATTCTGTCATTCTCTTTGGCACTTTCTTTGAAAGTAAAGATAGTCAAGGGTTTCAAAAGTTTTAATCCAGGTTCTAAAGATAAAGAAACCTGTGCTTGATTGAAACTGGATTGGGTTAAAGGATTCTAGTCTCTCTCTTATTAGAGATGGTCAGAATGGTGAGGAGCTTTTCAGATCTGTTTTTTATACTACTAAACTTCCCCTTAAACGAGTAGCTCAGATCCATTACTTGGATAGAATGGTTTCTGTATTACTTGGAAGTCGTAAACAAGATGGATACAACCACTCTGCAGCTACTACAGCAAGCATTCTCCTTGCTTCAGCATCATAGTTCTCTTACATTTCTACCCCCCAAAATTGTCAAAATTTTCTTACCACATTGCTTTTTCTTGTGTCATTTCTTCAGGACTGTTTATCACCTTTGTGTACGAGATCAAGTCTGTGATCTGCAGTGGAATCAGAACAACTAATTCTTTTTTCATTCATCCATGTTTTAAAAGAAAATTTTCCAGATCTAACTCCGTCTCAAATAATCATTCTCCAGCTACTATCCTTTTTCACAGAAGACTTCAGATGTGATCTTTGACATCTCACTCATTCACTACAATTTAACTTCTAGTATTAAGTGACTCTTGCAAAAACTCAAAACACCAGCTTCAATTCAGTCAATATATAAGTGAGAGGATATTGTTAAGTCAGTTGCCCTAAGATGTTGGTTTTGAAGATATGGGTTGACCTGCAAAGCCCTATCATCTGGACCCTGGTGCTGTATGTGGGTCTCAGACTGGCCCACGGTGCTTGCTACATGCAGTGTGCAGGACTGGCTTGTGGCACATGCTGCATGCTGGATCCCTGCATGCTAAACCAGGGCTGATCCCAGATCAGGCCCACACACTGGCCCCATGCACTGTATCTAGTGCACAGGGCCTTTCTGGCACACAACCCAAACTAGCCCCACATGCTGTAGGGCTTGGCACATGCTATATGCAGTGGGGCTGATGTGTGCATTGCAAGCGGTATAGAGCGCCAGTTTGGGGCATATGTGGGGCCAGTCCCACATCCCTTCCCTGTCCCGTGGGGCCTGATGAGTTTGTCACCCCTGCCTTAAGATGGATTTTTATCATCCGTATGTACCCACCACAAAATATTCAATGGTAGCTAAAATCGGTGTTAAGATATTTAAGAGTGGACTAATGCACTCTGCCATTTGATAGTGGTAGAAAGAAAATGCACTTATTCAGAAGAAGGTTGTCCCCTCTCTTCTGCTCCCCAAATCAGTGCATAGGGCCCAAAAAGCGATATGAGAGGTACCAATGAAACTTCTACATGACAAGAAATAATTGTCCTGAAGAGTCTGCTGTTCCAGGTGTGTCCATGTTACATGTAGGATTTTGGAATATACATATGGTATTACAGGCTGGAAATTCAGTTCAAGTT